CTTTCGACTCACAGCCAAGTTCATCACTTTCATCTGAACAGTCCACATCACCATTGCACTTTTTACCAATTGAAATACACTGTCCATTATCACAACGGAACTGGTTATCTAAACACTTTCTGGAGTGACAGTTCAGTTCATCTTCACCACTATTTGGGCAGTCACGTTTTCCATCACACCTAAAAAATTATGATCAGTGTTAATCACAATGCATTACATATCTTAAATACAGTTCAAGAATTACATTAAAGTTTATACACAAACGCATTTAGCTCAGGATCCAAATTTTCCATGTAATGAATTATGAAATTTATTGAAATAAATAAAGGTATAATTTTTATAACATACTCCATCTGTTAAAACTCTATAACAAAGTTCCTATGCACTGTGCAGATGAACTTCACATAAATCCCCATTTAAAATCTGAGGAACTTTCAGAATTTCATATATGCTGCACTGTAAATCATAGTTTAACTTGCAATTAACTAGATGCTATTAATGGCAAAAATATTATAATTTTAAAATGGTCTGCCACAAGCTATATACTGTAATTTTCTATCTAGCATCCTAATACTGCTTCGTAAGTTTGAAATATGATACAGTCATTGTTAGATGACAAATGCAATTTATCCTTGCATCACTAATTCACCCATTCCTGACGTACCTCATCATGCTGGGAATGCAGAAGTTGTCACTCTTGCATTTGAACATACCTCCAGAACAACGGATAGGTGCAGAACATGTTCTTTTGTCATGATTCAGCTTTAGTCCAACTGGACATAAACACACCTGCAAAAAATGGAAGAATACCTCGTAAGTTAGAAGGCAGACTAGATTTGTAACAACTGTTAGGTCATCAATTGCAATATTGGAAAACGTTTCTTATGCACAATCAATTTTATCAATGTTCATTTGTTCATAATCAACTGCTTCTAATAAAACATTTTCAAGTACATGTTGGAGGTTATGACCTGCAAGTTGAGCACCACTGTTCTAAGGGGAAGAAAAAAATTGTTTCATCATCCTGAACTTGAAGTGGTCCAAATGACTACACCCTTTCAGTTTTCAAAACCTCATGTCTGGTTACAGGATAAATCCACAAAATTAAAATGTCTTGACTTACTGTGCGTTTGAGGGAAACGGCACATATATGACTGCATCCTCCATTATGTTTGTGACAACGATGGTCTGGTTTACTACGGACACCACGAACTGCTACCAATTTCAGTTCTACACCATGCACATCTAAAATGAAGTAAAAGTCCAGGCTCAAGGCATTATCTGTGCAGTAATAACGCCAAATGATTTGAGACTGGATACATTTCTACACTTATTTATGAACATAACCAAACTATTATTATATCTGGCCAACTTTGTCTATAAACCACACGTTGTTGACTAAGAACAGTGAGCAACAATGCAACTTCCTTTCTTTACAACACTTACTGTTTTTCGATAAACAATTATAAGTTGTAACATTTGTATTTTTGGCCAACTACCTTAAGCTTATTTTTCTTTCTTCACATACATAAATTAACTCTGATATTTTTTCACTGCAGTTAACCTCCAGGATTGTGTCCCCATAACATATTTTGCAAGTTCCTCTTCCACAATTTATGTATCCATGAATCCTTACACCTTAATTTCTTAACTAATTTATACCTTAACATGATTTCCTGCAAATAATAATCTAATAAAGTAACCTTTTCCAAGTCCCTGACTATTCAAAATTTATTCCATTAACATGGATTTCAAAATTAGAGTGCTTTAAACCCCCAATTAGAAAGGAAAATTGGGGTATTATCACCCTACACTTAAGCTTGTTCAAAGAACAAATAAAAATACTCACCAACGAGGACTCGTTTTAAACTACTATGGCTATAGTATTTGTCAGACCAATATATGTAAGAAGATCCTAAGTTTGTCCAGAAGATATCATGAGTTAGTGATGCAATATCAAAAGGAGTACCAAGGTCTGTCTTGAATACATGCTGATCCATACCTGTCAAAAAATAAAATGGTTGGACACTATAAACTCAAGACCTCTGATCATCACATTTTCAGGACTAATGCTTATATTAATGACTTGGACCTAACCAAAATAGATTCATGCATTTTAAAACTGTTTTCACTCTTCCATTTCCTAAATCCTTTGCACAGGTAATAAAATGTAATCATAAATTGTGTCTGAAGTTTCTTCATACAGTATTTCTCCATGTTGTAATCAGTTCCTAGAGCTATTATCTCATTGTTAGCTGACATTTCCAGTTTAAATATGCAAAAAGGGGTCCGCAGTGGCCGCACAGTCTGAGGTGTGGTCCTTGTGCTGCTTGGTCACTGGGACTGTGGGTTCGAATCCCACTCAAGCCATGGATGTTTGTCCGCGTTTTTCTGTGTTGTGCTGTCCTATGTACAGGTAGAGGCCTTGCGTCGGGCCGATCCCTCGTCCCGAATGTCTATAGATCAAGCCAACGAAAATTTGGGACCCGCAGTGCTCAGGCACTTGATAAAGGGTTGTTCCCAGTATCCCCAGTATATGCAAAAAATATATTTTCTTAATATCATTTAATTAAACTCATTCTTTTCATATGTAAATTAACATGTCAGTGCACATTATACTGCCCTATGAAATACTTTATGGAATATCCTTCAATAAACCAAATGCAAAGTCTATGCACAAACTTAGTTTTCCAAATCATTGTAATTTGATGTATGACATGCAGTTCAGTAGGGGCAGCTTGGGCAGCAGATTGAAAAACCAAAAACCATGGTTCCAAGTAGTAGAGCATGAAATAGGTAAATAAAATACTCCTAAGATCATGAACATTATGTTTTTCATATCTTACTGAACTGCATTTTATGAGCTAATAGACATGCAATATATGCTGAATATTAGCAAAATCTGTTCAGTATAAATTACTTAACAGAACCTGAAGGTTAAATTCCACCAACACCAAAACATGTTCCCCAACTAAGTTTCATCCATCTCAACGTAATATCTGAAGTTACTTGTTTCCAAATAATACTATCAATACTTAAACGAGACTCACATTATTAAAAATATATATTTAAAAATTACAAATACTGCCAATATTTATGTTTCAATATGGTTACTGGATAAAAAATTATCTGAGCAGAATTAAAGATTACTGACAGCTCTGCTACAGATAAACCGGAGGTAGAAGTCTCATACTGATGAGAATTTGTTTTTCCTCATCTGCATTTACAGAATTTAGTATACATATTCCAAAGAAACCAATCTGCTCAAGAACTAAATTGGTGAGACACCTTATATTTCCATGTATTAATGTGGTCTTACGTTTGTTCCCTTGCATTTTTCCTTAAAGTTTAATGTAATATTAACTTTATCGTGAGGGAAAAGGCTAACTAGGGCCTGTCAGTTGCACTTACAGACTTCTGAGTTTTCAACAGACATTTCACTAGATCAAAAAAAATATCAGAATTGTATAGTGTCATACCATAGCAAAGAATTCTGGAATCCACACAAGAATGTTCTGGGGAAAGAACGAAATAAATGCGATATTTGGTGTGTTGCATTCTTACCATCCACAGCCACACTAGAAATTTCCTCCTTTATTGGATCAGTCCATAATATCCTGTGCAATTCTGGATCATAAAACAATGAGAGAACTGGACCTTTCACATTAATCTCAATTACATGAAGACGGTTTCCGCCATCCATGTTCAGGCGGTCAATATGAGGGCTAAAATCTTCAAATAACGCATGTGAAAATGCTATAAACATTACTCTGAAACAGTAAATAGAATTTTTTATATCAGTTTCTATATTGAAAAGTTTATAGTAGTCAGCCAAGGGATTTGACATTATCTAAGAAATTAATACATTTTATTTTGCATTGAATGCCCTAATCTGATGTGCAATTTTATTAGCATCCCAACACAAGTTTTTAAGTTTCTAAAAGGAAGTTCACTAATAGTTTTATCTGAAAATTGATATTCATACATAATATAATTAAAGTATAACAACAATCCTAACATCATTACTGGTTAAAAGTTACTAACACTTTCAAAATATATTTTACTTTGATGGCTGCCTTCTGGATTGTAGTGTGACATAGTAGTGCCTGATGGAGGCAGCAAGACCTCTGGAATGTTGGTGAACTAGACTGCAAGGTGTTACAACCCAGAACTGCTGTGAGAACTTAAAATCTTACATATTTTACTTTCTAAGGATAGACAAAATATTTCTTGGCCAACAACTTTGTGACAAATCCAATATTGTCTAGTTAACCATACCAATTCAGCAGAAAGTCCTCAATATCCAAGGATTGTTCTTTCTATCATTTCTCTGTATAATATACTATTCAGAAGATGCATTTCTCATTTACTTCCCACCATCATTCTCAGTGGTTTCCACATTTTTTCTTATTCTTGATAAAAATGCAACTTACATTGCTTCATTGAGAATATTCTAAGCATGAAAGTCTAACAGATGAACGGTGCACGCAACACACACACACACACATGTACACAACCTTGAGTACTTACCCCTCCTCTGAGACAACAGCAATATCAAGAGGCGTTTCTCCAGCTGAAGTGCGAAGCAATATAGTCTTTTCAAATGTATTCAGGCTCAATATTTCCACAGTTCCTGCATCACCATCACTGAAGTATAAATTATTTCCCAAATAGTCTGCAAGTTAAGAAAGAACAGATTTATAGCACATAAAAATGGTTAATCTATTAGAATACATAATAAATATCAAAACACAACATACAGATGCCAGTCACGTACCTACTATTTAAAATTATGCAATTTCTTCAACAGATTACATTAAAGCAATTATGCTATCAAAGCATCATTACTTATACAAATATAAATGCTATGAAATATACGTTTTCTTTGAAATAAGTAAATCACAACAATGTAATGACTCCTGTAAATTCTCACTCTGAAAACTATCTTAATTAGAATAAGCCCTCAGGAATGTTATCAGAATACACACAAGATTGTATTTAAATTCTCTTCATTGCTAATCTGACTGCAGTATGAGTACACGTGTAAAATTAAAAGCAATTTAAATTTATTAAGCACGCTGCCTGCAAGTAGCCTGAAGTGAATGGCAAATTGATAATGAAGGAAAATAGTACTTTTGGTTGCATTAATGATTTTTGGATGATCTTGCATGAATTTATGTTTTCTAAACGTTAATTTTATCATATCCTTCACACACATTTAAGTGTCTGTGCTAAAGCATTTCTAAATGCTTTAGAAGTTATAAGAAATATTATAAACAAGAAACACTAACCACTTACCCCTCACCTAGTGTCAAGGTTATATATGAGTAGGAGCTACACCCCCCTCCCAAGTGCCACCATGGCATATAGTGGAACAGCTTTACTTTACTCTTTTTGTAGATCTGATCATAGCACAATATTTCATGTTAAAGGAATGTGATGTGCATTTTTAAATAATATGAGAAGCAAGTTTTATAAATGTGGCATACAAAGCAACTACCACAAATACAATAATTAAAAGACATTTTCAGTGTGTTTTGTGTGAATCCTATCATTTTTTTAAAATTATCATTCCAAGTACTAAGTTGTATTTTGCAATATAATTTATGTATGGAAAGAAATACAACAAGATATATTGTTCCTAGTTTAACTAAATCACAATACCCTTCTTATTACTTTGTTTTCAAATTCACTTTCACACATTTGTCATAACTTACCAAAGTCCATTGTGTCAATGTTTTCAATTCCTCTATGCAAAGGACGTACAATTGTCTTTGGCCAAAAGCTGAGTGTGAAAAGCGCTTGCTGATCAGAATCATACATAATTACATGACCTGAAAAGTTAAAAATAACCAGCCTTCAGAAACAAAGTTGAAGAATTCCCTTACTTCTCTCTGCAGGCTGCCCAACTTTATCCCAGAAACAAAATTAAAATTATTAATTCTGCAGGTCTACATAAGCTGTACTGTAACATTTCAAACGATATTGATTTACAGATCATAATATATTCCATATTTTATACATTTTTACCACCTCTGATAACACTTGCACATGCAATGGTTAAATATTTGTGTCATGCATTGAGTATAAGTAACACATTTATCAATAAATGTAAATATTTTAAAACATCTTTGTGCAATTCTAATACATTTTACATTCAACAATACTTTCCTACATAAAGATTCAACTTAACCATCCATAGCCAAAAATATATAGACATGGAATTTTTGTTTCTCCTCAATAAATTCACAGTTCCAATGTGCGTTTTAATCACTATCAGATAATACTGGCCACTTTATACGTTTCTGCAAGCAATTATCCTTTCTAAAGCACTGCTCCCACAAAGCTTTCATGTGATTTTATTATGCATTGCATATTTTTCTTTTGGAAAAAGGTTTCAGAATTCCCAGTATTATCATCTCAATTTCTTACTCAAAATGTTTCTCCCAAATATCTTTGAGCACATCATAAAATAATTAAATTATAGATGTACTAGACTTCCACTTCTCTGAAGGAGACACTGAAAATTCACTTTTTAAAATAAAAAGCTCCTTGATTACTTTGATTATACCTTTTCTATTACAGTACAAAGTTAAGTCATATGTTGAATTAGTATCCAAACAATGATGTTAGTTCTAGCTTAAATTATATGAAGACCTTGATACTATTTAAACTTATTATATGTTAAAATACATAAATAATAAAGTTTATGGCAATACAAGTGTAATGCTATCTTGACATCAATGCAGGTGCCAAGGACAGATTGAAAACCTGTATAAAATATAAAATTTTAAATACTTGCCTGTAAGCGTATTGTAAGTTACAGCCCCAATACTTTGAACACTTGTCAATGAAATCTCATAGATAACATGTTTTCCCAGAAACTCATGACCAATAGCAACAAGTTTCTGACCTGCTGCAGCCATCATTAACTCTTGCTTGTTTGTTGTCTCTGAAATAATGGTTAGCAATTCAACATTTATCCATCTACTTTGTTTTCAATACTTACATGTCAATAAAAGTGTTCAAAACATATTCTTTAGGTCACCTCAAACACTGTTAAGGTGGGATGAATGCTTTAAACATTTGAGATGTGTACCAGAGTCTTGTGTTACATGTCATGCACCTATGTAAGAATAAAATTCTTCAAATATGAGGACCTTACAATTTTAAACATCCTCATAACATGTGACAGAGAAACCCCAAAATAATAGATGCAATTTATAGAATATATTTTACTAATTCTAACATTTGACACCTAAACATGTACCCTCGAACCCTTGCAAAAAAGAACAAAAGCAAAACCGGAGTAATGCAAATTAAATGTTTTGAAGTATTGAGGAAAAAGCAAGGAATGTGATTAAAAATTAAATCTAAAACTGAAGTCCAGAATTTGATAATAGAATTAGAAGATAAATTATAATGGTTTTATCATGAGCAAGAAGTTGGTTCAGTCAGATACTAGAAGACAATGGGGGAAGAGCTGACAAATTGTAAGTAAGTGGCTGGAAAGATAAGAGATTGAATAATTCTGTCCATCATTCTGTAAATAATGGAAACAAAATTTATATTTGCAATACATTTTTACAAGCTTGTTAGTTCTGTTCTATTTCTAAGATCAGTTACAATTCTAACTCACCATAGCAAGTATGCTTATCCACTCCAAGGATTTTATTCTCTCCACAGGCACAGGTATAGGTTTTATTTGGAGCCAGAAGACAAATATCACTGCATTCTGCATGTAGGCATGGGTTTGGAACCTACAGGGAGATATAAAGATTATCAAATATAGCAATAAGAATTCTCACTGTCTGTATAATAAGCTGGTGGTAATGGAAAAAAATGTCAATTTTATTCACACAAAACCACTAAGATATGAGAACAAAGTAAAATGTATGCTTGAAATTAATATGTGCTCAAGATATATCAACTATAAGTCTTGATGGTAAGTGAAATATATTAAAATCACTTTCTTGCTGTTTGTGCTCAATAATCACATTTTCTTTATTGTAACTGTATTACATTAAACACTTCACTCTATGCTTTCAATTCAAGTTCAAGAAGGGTAAAAACACACAAGTATTCCAACTCCCATTATATGGAATTTTGAACTACTAAGTCTGATATAATATTCACTATTGTCAAGTAAATCGTTCCCAAAACTGAACTTTTTAAATTAGGGAAAAATACATACAGGATGTTTAAAATCAGGGACATTAAGAGAGAAGTGACAGCAGGATGGAAAAAACTGAACAATGTGAAGTTTCATAATTTGTACTCTTAACCAAATATTAGTATAATAGAAAGGATGATGAGATGGAAGAACATTCAACATGGATGGAACAAATTATAAATTCTCATAAAACTTCGTTCAGAAGACTTGAAGGGAAGAGGTGCTTGGCATACCTATGAGTAGGCAGGAATAGAACATGAAGGAAATATAATGTATGAGTGTGTGCCGAATTAATTTGGCACAGGACAGTGTCTACCTGCAGGCTCTTGTAAATGTTAGTTAGCACAGACTGGAAATTTGGCCATGACTATCAGCTTCTCAATACAGACTCTTCTCCACAAAATCACTTTCTAAATTAAGTTAGTAAGACCATAGTTATAAGCTGAAATACCAACCGATGGCATCATGGCTGGATGATAAACATGGACATCATAAATAAAATTGCCTTTGGTCTTCTCACGAATTAACACACGATGATTCTTCCCAGTAAACTTGTTGCAAGCTTGAATATCACGTCCATGCCAGTCTGACCAATACAGAGTATCTTCAAACACTGCAATTGCAAATGGATGCTTCACAGCATCCTTTAAAATGACCTAAAACAAAAACAAAAATTCAGTATAACTCAGGTGTTCAATTCCAATTTGGCTGTAACTTATTACTACCCGAGGACTTAAAACTTCTCAATTATTTTCTATGATGTTGAAGTAATTCTTTATCACTACATATGAAATTTACTCATTTTGAATGTAAAAATGCAGGTCTAATCTCTCTTACTAATATGTCTTTATAAACTCCACAAACATTTTACATGGACATACAAAAACAAAAATATTTTTCTACTGTTCACAGCCAATCATCTGTATGAAAGCAACAGTTTTTAATTTTAAAACTTCATAAGCTTACTTTAAATCAGTACCAGTTTTATGAAATAGTGGCATCATATAAACAAAGTTATCAGTCAAGCAAAGCTACATCTTACCCTTCTGTCAGTTCCATCCAGCCTGATTGACTCTATGACAAGCAGTTTAGCATCCACCCAGTATAGACGAGAATTGTGATAATCTACTGCAAGACCATTAGGGAAGTGTAGTTGTGTTGAAATAAATGCTGTTCGTTTTGATCCATCCATTCCAGCTTTAGCAATCGCAGGTATTTTTCCCCAGTCAGACCAGAACATCAACCTAAGATAGTAAATGACCTCAGTAACTTTCTTTCCATGCTACTTATAATTCCAGCACATGCAACAATGTATAACAAAACAAAAACTTACCCTTCAGTTGGTAATAAAACGACAGCACGTGGTTTGTCCACATCTTTATTGATCAGAATACTACAACTTGATCCATTATTTGAACATACGCCAATACGTTTTGCTTCAGAATCACTAAAATATATGTTGCCAGTAACCCAATCCACAGCAAGATCTTCAGGCCGATAGAGTCCTAAAAGAAATTTTTTATAATGTTTCAACAAGTCCTACAAATATAAATGTATGAATCTGTTACTTATGGTGACCTTTGGATTCTGACTGTGCTCTAAACTTGGCACATATCATTTAGTTGTATGTGTGGGCCAGTTTTCTGATAGCTGCAAGTGAGGCAGGTCAAATTTCAAAATATTAATAAGGTAATACTAGGAAGCATAAACACATCAGTTCTGGTATGCTATGTGAAGTGTAGGTAAGGTAAATAAATTTTAGATAAAAACAGCTGTTTCTTCCCAAATTCTAGTGGAATAATAGTAAAAGTCTGCATTATACTAGATTGCAGTAATGAAAAGTTAATTTTTCCATCAGATGTGCAACCACTCTGCCGCTACCCCTCTCATTACCTTTATTTTTGATTATCCCTCAACATTTTCACCTTTCTTCCTCTTGTGCCAGCCAAGGGCCAACAAACATTAGTACCATCATTCAAATGTCTTCCATGAAGAATTCTGAACCTAACCAAGTTGCAAACCTCTCTTCATTTCATGCTGCTTTGGTCATTCCAAAGAACATGTTAAATTATAAAGTTGTGTATACCATTTTTAATATGCTGTCTTTTTATAAGGAGTTACTAGCAATGCCCTGCCCCAAATGTGAACCTGAAAGGTCACACATTGCTGGCTATTCAATAAATTAGCAGCTACTATGTCTGTAAACTTTCTCCTCCACAAGCAATCTGTGGCATTTAACAACTTCCAATATATTATGAAATTCAGGATGTCTGAACCAAACAATTCATCTCCAACATTCTGCTTAGCAGTAAAACATTCATCAAAAGCAGAAACTGTGCTTAGAACTTCACAGTGTGATACACGTCAAGATAATACACAACTAGCCAAAAGATTCTGCAGCTATGTATTTTAATAACTCCACTCTAGCATTGCTTCTCATTTATCCCGAGCCTGTTATGGATACACTTTAATGATCTGTGGGCAGCTAGTTTCAGAATCCAGGTGAATTTTAATTAATGATTTTGTGTGTTTGTTACAAACACTATTTTAATTAATCAAAAAATAATAAATATGCCAATTGTAAGATTTGAGGTCTACACAGCGGTCAGTATGAAGATTTCTGTCTTCTGGGTTGTTGCGCTGTGTAGTCTGGTCGATGTTAACCATTTCAGAGGTCATACTGCCTCCGTCATCAGGGCGATAAATATAAATGCCCTGATGACCGAGGCAGTATGACCTCTGAAACGTTGGTTAGCATCGACCAGACTACACAGCACAACAACCATGAAGACAGAAATCTTCAATATGCCTATTATTTGGAAAAAATAAGATTAAATATGTTTGAAACAGAATAAAGATAGTAGAATGTTAAAACTGAATAACTTTACCATAACTGCCTTGAACATTCATCAGTAATGCATCATGGTCCCAGCTGGCCATTTGTCATTAGTTTACCATTACCATAAAACTTCCGGAGTTAAAACCTAACCCGCAGTCCCGCATAGCACAGAGATTTAAATCCCCTATTCCCATACAATAAAAACCTATAAAATTATACAAATTTTTAAATTAAACTGATAAGGTCTCACCCTCAATGTACTGACATAAAAATATGAATCCACTAATCCAACCACTCTTTAAGTTTTATGAATCTTCAGCAACACAAATAAAAAATCAAACAACTGTGTGGTAAGATTTCTTTTCTTTTACAAAATCATTTTTTCATCCAAATATTTAATCTGAAGTGCATAACCTGGCCTATTTACCTGCATCCACAATTATTTCCATATGAGATCCATCTTCTTTGCTCCGTACAATTGATTCCTCTCCAGCCATAATGCCTGTCCAGTACACATAAACTCCATCATAAGACAGACCCACAACACGATCTAGGTCTTCGCGAACCACGTAATAGACTTTTTTGTGAATGTACATAGCACGTATCTCCTTTGTAGATGAAAACAGAAGCAAGGCATCTGCACCTAAATAAGCAGATATGTAGTTTTAATTTATGAGGTAATATTAACACCAAAGTTTATACTTCTCATTATTGCAACATTTAAGCCTGCATTTAATATTGTGCCTGATTCTTACACAAGTAATCATAATTTACTTAAAATATTGTTTTGTACTAAGTTTTCCAGAAAAAAAAAGTATTTGGCTAGAAGAGAAACAGGAACCAATTTGTATTTACAGATGTCAGAAACAAGAGTAATTTTGTGTATTGTATTCTTTTGGGTTTCTATAACCTTCAGTCAGCTTAGCTTTACACAAGGGGAGAGAAGTCTGTTCAGTATCTATTCCTAGATCAACTAACCTGTAGCTTTGCAATAGTGCTTGTCAGGACCAAGCTCATAGCCTTCATCACAGTAACAGCTGTAGCTTCCTTGCAGATTTTTACATCTTTGATCACAGATACCATATTCTAAACATTCATCTTTGTCTATAACACAAATATTCCACTTATTAAACATTTAACACTAAAGTTTTAAACAGCCTACTCATTCCTCAAAATACAACCGAACTTGCTAAATGTCCTTTCAATAATTTAGAATGTGCAGATAACTATTCTCTCTAATAACAATTGGTATATTTCATCAAAATATGCTATTTATAAATTTAATCATAATCTATAGATGAAATCAATTTGTCTATAAAATTCCTTTTGGTTTGCAAAAATAACACACAAACCAACTATTATTTTATTGTAATCTAGATTGTGAATTAGTAAAAAAACTGACCTCGTAATACCTCTGAATGACCATGCAGTTACTTTTAAAAATACCACCATATACCACCTTGTTTCTTCACTGCCACCAATAACATGACACAGAATATTTTATTTATATTAATAAAACCATCATGGGATAAAGATCAAAGGAAATAAAAACCAGAGAAAAGTAAAAACTGCAGCTTATTCTTTGGAGGACACTCAGTATGTCGACCATTTTCGAATCCAATATATTTCAAGTAATAATAACCACTTAAATTATCAAACTATGTGAAGATATCTTGAAGTGTCTGGCATGATTTTAGTCCAGTTTTTATAACAAGAGATTAAACAGGGTCATGTATGCTGTACCCCCCAAAACCTTATGATATAAACAACTGGTCAATTTTTATGTAACTCCAAACTGATCAACACAATAAAATTCAATTTCTACTTTTCAGACTGTTTGAAAGCAGTTCAACGGAGTCATCAAAGTACTGAAGCACTGATCGTTGATGCAGCAGACAGTTGTTCAAGCTCATTCATATGCTTCTGTCTTCCAACCGTGCTGACTGGTCTTTTTAAACAAATTCTGAATAGTGTCTTTGAAACTGACTAAACACTTACCACAGGAATTTTTAGTCTTCATCTTTATGGAGTATGAGCATAAGAAGACTAGAACTGTAAGGAAGTACTTCTGGACAGATTCTTTTAGACATTTCATTTAGATTGGCATATTAAAAAATTTAAAATGTTTTAACATTCCTGTATAGGTAAATGTAGTTTGGTATAGCAAGAAACTGGTTTATAAATTTCAGATTAAATATTTGCTCTGAGATTCCAGTAAGTAAAGTGAGAAAATAGATTACATTTTTTCATAAACTAGCCTCTACTAGAACACATCTCCCCACAAATACTTTTTTTATTATAACACACATGGTGTTTTCCATTTCAGAATTTCTCTTTACAATTACAAAGACAAATGAGACAAGGCATTCATTTGCAAGTAACAAATGCCATTGCCTCAACAATGGCATGCAAGAACCCTATCTTTATGTTAATAACATTCTAAGACATGTAAATACATACCAACACATGTTTTATTGTTGACAAGCTCATAACCAATTTGACAAATGCACAGAGGACCTTCAGGAGAAGCAGCACAACGATGACTGCATCCTGCAGTGTGGCAAGCTGCAACACCTGCACCAAGTTCATAAATTTAATATCTATTTAATCAAAAAAGAATTGGTCATGAAACTCAAAATGTGTCACTTACTTGCATTGCATGCAGGACCCTCATCTGAGCCATCATGACAATGCTCCACACCATCACACAACTCTTTAACTTCCACACATTCTAACTGATTAGTGCAGAGAAATAAGTTTCGTTCCAATTTACATTCTTCAGGGGACACATTATGGTTACCTGCTGAAAAATAAAACAAATGAAGGTCATAATTCTTTCCCTGGAAGTCAGATACTGAACTGTAAAAATTCTCATTCTGGAAGAAATCTACTAATCACTGTCATAATTTGACCCTACCTTAAAACAAAACCATTGCCCTGATATCCACTTTACTCTAACATGTTATTTACACTCACCACCATGAAAACCTTAAAGTCAACCTAAGTTTACCTGGCATAGAATGTGTTAATATTTTACATCTGTGTGAGTCAAGTCCTACACAAGTGCCCTATTAATATAAACCTAGTAACTTGAATTACATAACCTTATTCTAAACAAATATAAAATGTCACGCATGCGCACACAGACAAAAATTGTAATTTAATTTTACTCATTTACAATGCAATAAAAATGTAGACTATCTCCAAAGAATACCTATATATTTTGTAGATACTATATGCAATTGATGAAAGAAAATTTCTGTAGAGTGTTTCACATCATTAATTAACAATCTCTCTTTTATCTTTTGAATTTGGAAATGTTTTCATTGTATTTCCAACCAGTCTTTTACACATAAGGTTTAAAATGAATCTATTCACTGCCTTCAAATTCCTTAACTCTTCATATATCATTCTGAACTTCACACCTTTGCATAATTTCAAAATTTCACATATTACCAAGAAAACTAACTTCACTGTATTTTAAAATATTTCTTTGGAAATTTATTGTTATTCTGACCTGAAAGCTATTTATGAAATGAATATACAGATATTTGACTGGGACACCGGATGCTTCGTCCTGCATTTTCTCGACAATCTGTTCCATCTACAGAAACATAAATCATTAAGGCATTTTCTAATTACTCACTCGTTTTATACTGTGGATGAGTACCTAATTGGATAACTATTACAATAAAAAATACTAGTTATATTGTTTTGTATTTAGTACGCTGCTTGTCTAGATGTAATTCTTTAATGTATGTATTTCATGCTTTTATACTTGTGTTTGTGACATGTTCTATATCCATTACTGGATTTCTGGAACTTGTAAATAAATAAATAAATAAAAATAAATACACTTACTACTTCCAAACTGATAAATGAATTTACTGGATGTAAGAAGTAAGTTATTTTGCTTCACCACATTCTTCTTCTTGACTACCAGTTATCAGTGCACAGAAATAAAAGTTCTAGCACCTACAGATTCTGTAATGTTCTTAAGCAAAATCTGAGATACTGGAGAGAAAGTCTCTGTTCTAGAGTACTGAGAATTTTTAATGAAGTTGTCAAGCACATAATGCCATTGTAAATGTTTGTGGCAATGTTCTAATATAGTCACAGGAAAATTATTTCTGGAAATTGTCTTTCTACCTGAAGAAAGGCACAGCATAGGTATGCAATGTCCAAGGAAAGTTCATCCAAGAATATAACACTGCCTGAATAAACTCAGATTTGCATTCAAACATTTAATTAGCCTAACCAATTCTATGGGCATTCCAAATTTAATTTACATAATCCTTGACCTAACAAAATCACACTTATTTTTAGAATATTTAAAGCTTTTGTGAACATAAAAATCTAGACTAGTTTCCAGCATTGTGACAATTTGTAGTCTTGTGAATGTCATCGCAACCCACAAGTCTAATCAAAACTTATTCTAGTTGGTAGAATGTGCAATTCTAACACAATTTCTATCATTCTTCTTCAGCTTGGCTACATTGAAACAAAAGTAAATTCTCTTCATATGGAGTAAATCTTGACCAAAGGGAGTTTAGAGTTTATATGATGCTAATAAAAAGACTTCAGAAATTACTGCTGTCAGCTTCATCACAATTTTTGTATTATAAGAAAAATCAAAGCACACCAACCACATTTTACATATCGTGGGGGGGGGAGTAGATGGTTTATAAATCGACCCCAACCGAAAAATGTTCTATTTCATGTTTATAATTATCCATCTTTATTATTGTATCATTTATTTTAAATATATTATTTGAAATAAATTAAAATACAATATTTCCTACAGTCTTACCCAAAATTTATTAATTATGTCTAAACATTTAAACTTAAAGATACTTATTTATATTTGTACATGTAGATAGCAGAAGCAAAGAAACATTCTGCAGGCGATTACACGAAGGAAAGCTAACTGGCTGGGACATATTATGAGAAGGAATGGATTACTGAGTGATATCACCGAAGGCCAGGTTGAAGGAAAGCGAGGACTGGGAAGAAGACTGACACAGCTAACCGACGATCTTAAACAAGTAAAGAAGATGAAGTTCCAGGAATTAAAACGAGAAGCTGAGAATAGGGAAAACTGGAGAGCTCGTTTTGGGCAGAGGAATGGACCTGTCATAAGACAGAACACTGAATAATAATAATAATAAGAAGAAAAAGTTTGTCCATTGCAACTGCAATTTTTCCTCATCAGAAACAAAATCAGCAAAGTAAAGGAAAAATACTTATGAAATAAAACAATATGGAGAAGGAGAACATAAAAGAGAATAGAGGCATTATATGCTGAAAAATATGTTGATGGAAACAAACAATATTGTTATCACCACTGTTATTATTACATAATTGTGAAGTGCCATACAACAGAAGCTAAAGTACAGAAACAAATTATTCTTATTTTGGGGGAAACACACATTGAAGATGTTTAAAGAAAGATTTCTGTTGTAGGAAATAATGTCACGAACATATAAGTCATGAATGTGCAATATGAAAGGTATCTTATTGAACTTACGACAGTGTTTTTCGTCACTGTTGTCTCCACAGTCATCAGAACCATCGCACAAAAATGTAAGTGGAATACAGTGATGATTGTCACATAAATACCCATCTGTACAGGGCATCTGAAACACGTAAATAGAAATGTCAATGACAAAGTGACTCTTGCAAATTAAGTATATCTTTTGTATTAACCTTATGAGTTGCAACATTCAGCCAAAATATCTGAATGGAAAATGAAAAATACCTAATTTTAGAACTTGTCTATGTAGGAAAGTATTGGATTGTAAACCAAGATTTTTTTTTTAATTTTAATACAAATAAGAATTACAGAAACACAACTGCAGGTATTACAAAGTGTGAATATAGTATAAATAGCCCCAGTGCTACTTTAATTTCTACATTTTGGTAACTTTGAAATGTACACACAATATAATTTTAAGTGACTTCTCAGTCTGTTTACCATCTTCCAGAAAACTATTAAAATTTATTTTCAGATAACAAATTACAAATGTGTGAAGAGCCTGTTTCTTTCTTTTTTTAAAGAACTGACAATACCAAGGATCTAATTAACATGCAAATGTTACCTGCCAGTAACCAAGTTCATAAACCAGTTGTCAAGAAACAAATTTAACATTTTTGTGTTGGCATTTAGACAATAGGATAAAATAATCCTCTCAAAAGTATTGTAATATATATCCAGAGCTCATATTAAAATTGCTTACTGTATCTCAATAATATGTGCTTCATTCTACAAAAACACAGCACAGTAACTCACGTGAAGAGTACATCCCTGGAGTTCATCACTCCCATCCATGCAGTCCTGTTTCCCATCACACACCCAGTCCACCAAAATGCAATTATTGTCGACACAGCGCCATTCATCTTTTGAACAGTTTGCAGGCTGTGTTTCCTAAAATCAAAAATTTAGAAAACTATTTATTCCATGTATATTCTCTATTCAGCAATCAAGTTCAATAGTTAATGTGTTAAAATAACTTTAAAATCAAATTACTTGAGTAATTTTACATGTGTCCATTAATCACACAGACTTAACTTTTGTTGTTTAAATTTTGCTGAAATATGAACTGGCAGAATATTATCACATCTGCAGAATACATTCTGGTGGGAATATATATTTATGTAGAAAATTTGTGCACTTTATCCAATTGTGTGAAAGTAGGAAACGTTTTAGTAATAAATGTAAGTTACACTAATCAATATCCAGAAAACAATGTAAATTCATAAAAACATTAGAAAGAGTGATTTTAATCTATTGAATACAATTGTATTCCTAAATATTTTTTGATATGACTAGGTCATTACTTACATTATGCATCAAATTACTGCTTCAAATCATACATCTGGGTAACATAAAAGGTATCTGATGATCATTTTGTTAAGAAAATATCGATATAAAATTTCAACAATTTAACATTACTGCAAGTCCATGTACAATCTTACCACTGAAGAGCAGTCCTCTTCATCTGACCAATCACCACAATCATCACTGCCATCACAGCGTAAACTACTGCTCACACAGCGTCCAGTATGACAACGAAACCAGTCTGGTTCCTTGCAGGTCACTGCATCTGCGCATTAATCCATAACAATGCACTGACAAACTCAAATATTCTATTATTGGGATATTCTTTCATGTCAAAGCCCAATTATAGTATTCACATAAAATACTGGTGGTTGTGACATACTTTGAAAAATCAAGTTTGAGTCCAGGTACTAACATATTGTGTTTAAAGAAACAAATTACATTCTAGTACAAGATTCTGCCTACTTTAAATTTTTGTTCAGCAGCTTTTATAAACTGCTTACATTAAGTTATAATCTGAATAACATACATAATATTTTGGTTCAAACTGCACTAAAATTACGTATATTGCAAGAGACTGCGGTTTTATTAATCCAAAGCAATCATCACACAAAGCAAACAAAAGTTGAACATTTTATTAAAAATTAATTAAAATTTAAGTTGGCAACCAAAGTTCAGTTCTCAACATTTCTTCTGTATCCATTTTGTTGTTTATTTTCCTAGCTGTTTGTCTCTTTCTTTCAGCATTTTCATTCTAAGATACAGACTTTTAAAATAAGTAAAAATAAATAAGAAATTTTGGTGGCATTATATAAAAGAACTTGCAGGTCAATAAAATTATTATATTAACTAAATTTATTGGAGTAGCATATAAACTGCATTTCCTCATTGACAATATGAAGTTTTATGAAGCATCTTACCACAGTCAAATTCATCAAAGTTATCTTTGCAGTCTGTATGGCCATCACAGTGCTTAGCTTCATGAATGCATTCCCCATCAAGACATCTGAAGAAACCGATTGGGCATACGTCATTCCCTTCAACTGGAAAACATGTCAAAAATTTGTAATGTATTGCATAGATGACATTCACTGCCTACAAATTTAAAATATGTTATTTGTTTTTGGTTTTATAAGCTTTTTCAGATTAACACAGATTTTTTAAATGAACATGAATAGATTTTAAATGTCTGTCACTGGTAAACAATCTTCGAGTACATATTGAGACATTTTACATGAGGGGAATTCCTTGTGCCACATTTGAAGCTTTACATGCAATGATGTTTACTTGAAATTGGTCATGCAAAGAGATTGATGGAGGCAGGGCAACTCCAAAACACTGGAAACTCACTCTGTACTTCCACACCTGATTGCCCCAAAAGACCCTGTAATCAATTTATAAATGTGATTCCTTCCTTGGTTATACAACAAGAAAATAATTTATTTTGAAGCTTCTGAAATTTCTAGATTAATGCAGTAAACTATCAAGCTGTCAATTTCCAGCAAAAAGAAGTTCTAATTATGGAAGTGGAGCATGAACCACAAATGACAAGATTAAAATGAAAAGCAAGAAATACGAGATCTGAAGTAGTAATCACAAGCCACCTTCTTGCTTAAAGGAATCAGCTCGAGGTTTCAATAACCTAGGCTTTTGTCAATTTATGAACAATTATTCAACTCTAACAAGAAATATGCAGTCATATTTTAATGTTAGATATGTCTGCAAACATACCTTCATTTTGAAATGTTAACAAAACCCATATTACTCCTATCCATAATAGCATGGCTGATCGATGTGACCACATCTTTCTCCCTGGTCACGTACCTGAAATATAATTTTATAAGCATTCAATGCACTGTAACAATTATGTTTTCATTAAACAGAACTTCCATTAGGTTTTAAATATTACCATTCCAGAGTTAATTTACTAATAGGTGATATGTTAATTTAATTTTCTACCAATTTTAATGTTGCACTTCAAGCGCAGTAATTATTTAACCTTCCAATTAATCATTATCAGCCATTCCAAATAGGCCTATTAGACATAAAATTAACACCTAGAAACATTATAAAACAACCAACTGGGGAATTCTGAAAAACACGAGATTTACCAACTGATCCAGTTGTAACCTCTCCCCCTAAATGCCTACATGGTGTGTAGCTTTTAACTCCTCACATTTACATTCACGTTCTGCGTTTTGTAATGTTTCAGCAAAATGGAATTTCTTCTTAAACCGAAGTGTTTATCTCATATTGCCCAAAATAAATAAAATTTCATGTTTTTGTACTTTTATTGACAGCAGGCCTTTGTATTGTTTCTGCGTTCACACATTTTCTATCTAACGCAGATTACTGCACCCCGTCAGCATAGGCCGTATTTAGCGAGCGTTCGACGGGATGAAAGGATGCTTCTGACCGCATATCCTGAATTTTTACCAAACAGAAAAGTAATACGAACGCTAAACCTAAGCATGCA